TAGCCAGAGAACAACCTTAGTTGTCATCCTTGGGTACCATCCATCTTTTGTTGAGCCAGGGTCTCTCACTGCCTGGAGCTCTCTCCAATCCAGCTGTGCTGACTAGCCAGTGAGCCCTAGGGATCCAGCTGTCTGTGACTCCCCAGATGACAAGTGTGCCCCTGGGTTCTGGGACTTGTGTGGCGAGTGTGTTCCCCATCTCTCCAGCCTGGAGCCAGTTTTTATGGGGTCGCCTATATTTTCTCCTTTATTTCAGGAAATCTTTTTAGTTTAGAATTGTCTTAGATCTACAGAAAATGTGCCTAGATCCTGCAGATTGGTTTCCTCCGCTGTCAGCCTCTGACCTCACTAGGACATGCTTTATAGCAGGCTGATGTCAAACCTCATGCTGTATTTGGACTTTACCTGCCTTCTGTTGCCTTTCTGTTGTCTCGGGACACCTTATCCCCCACATCCTCCTGTCTGCTTGTTCTGAGGCCCTTGTTGTTCACAATGTCAGATGAGCAAATGTCCAGCTCTTCCCATGCAGACTGCACAGGCATCCCTCATTCCTTCCTTGGCCTCCAGCTCCTCAGAACTTGACCCAGCTCAATCCCTTCTCTGGGACCTGGACACTTTGTATAGCCACCTAGATGCCGAAGACGTGAAGAACAAATCCATAGCTTGGAAATGACAGTGTTACTAATCATGACCTTTAGCCAACATGCATCTAACATCAAGACTCAAGGCTCCGGATTCCTGAGCAGGGCCTGTGCCACCTTGTGTGCTGTTTGTTCTGGCTAAGCAGCTGTCCTTGGGACTTGTTCCCAACAGAAGTGAGGCCACAGTTCTCTTCATTAGCTACAAAAAGTTCCATAGACCCTGGGAGACCCAAGAGGATTATCTCTGAGACTGTAGTGTCTCCAGGCTGCCTTTCTACACCTCCAGGGCCCCGCTAATCTCATGGGGTGTTGTCTTAGTTACTTTCTATTGCTGGGACCAGACACTTATAAAAGAAAGCATTTATTTGGGACTTACTGTTTCAAGTGGTTAACATCTATGACCATCATGACTATCATGATGGGGAGCATGCCAGTAGGCAGGCAAGCAGGCATAGCACTGGAGCAGGAGCTAAGAACTTACATCTTGATCCACCAACGGGAGATAGAGAGAGTCTAAATGGGAATGGTGTGGGCTTTTGAAATCTCAAAAGTGATATACCCAGCAATACATCTTCTTCAGTAAGGCCACACCTCCGAATCCTTCCCAAACAGTTTCACCAACTGGGGCCCAAGTATTCAAATATCTGAACCTATGGGGACCATTCTCCCTCAAACCACCACAGGTATCTTCAGATTGGTTAGCGTTGTCTAGGATTCCTGATCGTTGAGGCGTCTGGAATGGCACCACTGAACACTCTGTGGAGCATTGGTAGATATGTTAACCTTTAAATGTATCTGAGTAGGAACATAATAGGTTTGAATGAAACCCATGGTGGCATGTGCCTATCACCAGATGCTGGGCACATATGCTGCTAAGTCCCCAGCCTTCCCTGGCACTGGCATTCTCCTGGAGAGTGAGGCTTTTGCTCATCCAAGCCAGCTGCCCTTCTTGACTGCCCTGGGAAGTCTGCTCTGCTGTGCCTAAGTGTCTCTGGGTTCTGCCTCTGGCCAGATGTTTCACTGTCCCCCAGCAGAGCATGTCCCCAGGGTTCCAGTTCCGCCTCGTGTGCTTTCTATGCTTGGAGGAGTGCACACTCCCTGGAATCCTGGCCAGTTCCCCTGTGGATCCTATGGACTCTCAAGCAGTGTCAGCTTTTCTAAGAGATCTAAAAGCAATTTCCCCCCAAAACCCCACTGTGGCTTTCCACAGGTTCTGGTCCCTAGGACTTGGGGCCCTGCACATAGTTCCAGCTGTCTGGCTTCTTGACCTGTTTGTCCTCAGTGCATTCCTGGTTGAGGCCACTTCTGCCTGAAGCTGCGTGAATGCTTCATTCACACAGAACGCATGTGAACGTCCCTTCCGCTGTACAGAGCTGCAGCCTGGCCAGCTGACTTCAGTTGACCCCCTGTGTTGGTGCAATGCAGTGCTGCAACCTCCCCACACTGGTGTCTGGTAGGAGGTCAGATGGCATGCAAGGCTGGACTGGACCTTTCCAAGATGGCTGTCCCCACGGTGTCCCATCCCTTCCCGCACCATGCTCCCAGGAAGGAGCTAGAAGGGTACCCAGAGTAGCCTTCCAGTCCTCGCGAGGCTCCTCCTCCTGTCAACACCCCCATTCCTCTGCCAGCACATCTGTGGCAGCCATGACCTCCTTTGGCACTTGGCAATTTGGCCAGCTGGTTTCACATCCCAGGACTCTCAGTGGGGCTCCCTCCCTTCCCGGGCTACTCCCCAGCTGTCCGAAGCCACTACAAGGAGAGTTACTCTGCCACTTGTCCCCAGGGAACAGGACAGCAAAGGGAAAGGGGCAAATGCTGAGGCCATGGCATTGACTCCAGCTGGGAAGCCAGTTTCTGAGACTCCGGAAGCCCCAGTGTCCAGAGTAGCCTGAGGAACACAAGAGCGGGGAGAATGGAACTGGCCAAAGTGTCTGGAGGCTTGGAGGCACCAACAGTGTCAACACAAACCCAAGCCTCCAAGCTGGTCCCACAGGAAGGGGCTCCGTGGCGTCCCTTCTGTCTCCACTCCACCCATGGTGGCGCACCAGCTCCCCGTGGTCCTTGGCCAGCAGGCATTACCTCAGAGCTGAGAACTGCAGGGCTGCTAGGAGCTTTTCTTGCTCCTGGTGCAATCCTTTCCAAAGGGCGGCTTTCTCTGAGCCCACCCGGCCCCACCCCACAGCAAGAGGCTCTGGCCCTGCTTGCCTTCTGAGGGTTTGCTAGCGGGTTTCCTTTGGAATTCCTGTTGGCAAAGCACTCTGCCAGTTGAGCCGGCTTTTAATGCTAATGTGGTTCACTTGTCTCATTCCACCAGCCCTGAACCGATCCAGGGAGTTTGCCTCAAGACCTGGGGTCTGCCCAACAGCAGAGCCAGAGTCCCCCAGCCCACCATGCAGCTTGGACACTGACTGCTCTGGACTTCAGAAGTGCTGCTCCTGGTCAGGGGCCCGCCGCTGTGCGACCCCTGCACCCACAGGTAGGGCTACATTGAGGAGGGTCTCAGGAAGAAGATGCAGGGGTCTTAGCAGCCACAGTTCCCTGGGGCGTCTGAAGCTGGGAGTGGGGTGGGGGGTGTCTGCTGTCCCCATGGCTGGTCCCTAGGGCCTCCGGAGAGTTAAATGTGTGGGAAGGCAGCCGTGGTGGGCAGAGCCATGGTCCTTTGTCAGGCAGGGCAAGGTTTGGTAACTGCAAGCAGGCTTGTTGGAGCGGTGTCCCCTGAAGAGACGCAGGCCTGGTTGTTCTGCACACACCCCACAGCCCAGAGCAGCTGCTGGTGGTCTGGCACGTGTGCCCACTCTTCAGGAAAGTTCTCTCTGCCCAGGAGCTGTACTATGGGCAAAGCTGGATCAAGGCTCATAACTAGAGAAATACAGAAACCGAATCTATACATGCACATATACCATATATACCATATTGTCCTATTAGCATATTGTCATAAAATTAGCATATCAAGGATTACTATATTATAATTCTTTTATATGTCAATTATACTCCTGAACTACATACAGCTAGCCCTCCATATCCAAGGGTTCTGTATCCACATTATTTAACACATTTGAAAAATGTTTTGTTGCCAAAGTGTCCTACACAAGTAGACCTGAGGTAGGCACATTGGTACTGGACCTATAAGGACATTAAAAAAAAATCACCATTCCCTAAACAATCCATATACAAGGGCTGATAAGCGTTTACAGCACATGCAGCACTATAAGCCATCTAAAGATGACTATAGTGTCTGGGAGGGAGTTTGCTTACATGAAAACACATATGCATTTTAGGTATTTTAAAAAATTTATTTATTTAATTTTTTATGTGTATGAGTAGTTTACCTGCATGTATGGTACCCACAAAAGCCAGAAGATGGCATTGGATCCCCTGGTATCGGAGTTACAGATGGTTGTGAGCAGCCATGTAAGTGCTGGAAATCAAACCCAGGTCCTCTGGAAGAGCAGTCAGAGCTCTTAACCACTTAGCCATTTCTCTAACCAGACTTGTTCGGTTGCATAGGGGACTTGAACATCTGTAGACACTGGTGGTGACCCCTGGAAGTCTTGGAACCCATGTTCACCATTGCTGAGGGTAACTGAATAGACTATATATGAGCGTTATATGCACTACATGTGACAGCAGATGTCTAGTATGTAGTCATATATGACACTCTAATGTCAGGTGCTTACACTATTCACCTAGACAGCAGGGAATATCTAATATAAACAATGTTACATAGAATGTTACATATCATGCTATTTGCTATCAGTATAAGGAAACAATGGTGGACCAGACTGATTTTATATTACATTGTATCAAAGGCTGCAGGCAGAACTGGGTCCCAAGGGTCCCTCTCCCAGGGAGGGTCTTTGACTCTTCACAGGTGGGAGCCAGTGGTCTTTGCAGCAACAGGAAAGAGGAGTGAGGGCAGGCACCCCCAAGTCCCTGCAGGCATTTTGTGCAGAAAGGTAGTCTCCTGCCTCCCAGGGCTGCTGGCCACCCATGGCCTCTTGTGGCCCTGCCCTGTCCCAGAGATTGTAACTCACTGGCATCTGGCCTCCAGGTGCAGAGAGGACCCTGGTGAGCTGGTACAATGTGACTGTGCTGGTGAAGATGGACTTTGAGGACCTGCAGCGGGAGGACCCTGGCTTCCGGAACCATACCCGCCTGCTCTACTCTTTGGTGAGTGCGGCCGTTATAGAAGTCATGTTTCTGCCTGGGTAGATAGGATGGGGTGACATCGCACAGTGTCCTGAGTGACTGACACTGAACCAAACTTCAGTTCTTAACTAGAGTAAATCAGCCTCACCGGTAACCCCAACCCACGGGGCATGTAGACAGGAAGATCAGGAGTTCAAGGACATCTACCAACACCAACCTCATAGCAAGTTTAAGGTCAGCCTAGGCTGCCTGAGGCTCTGTCTCACAACAACAACAACAACAACAACAACCCAGAGAGGCACACAGTGGGGTGGTGGATCAGGGTGTGATTTCCTGAGTTCCACCATGTGTATCTGAAGCCACACCTGGTATGTGGGATGGGGAAGCCGCCTTCTTCTTGAGATGGTCAGTTGAGGAGATGAAAAGGTTGTCCTTGTCAGTATGGCCTTGGCCCCTCAGCCCCCAAACCCTGACATCCTCGTTCTCACTTTGTGGAATCCTGGGCTGTCCTGTTTAGACTAGGAGCCTTTCCCAGTGTGACAACTAACCAGTACCTACTGTCCCCAGGGGTCAAAGCCACCCTGCCAGAGACCCCTGCATTGCAGCCATACCTACAGACATGTCACAGCTATTTCCTGTCAGGGTATCTCTCTATGACACACTGTCCAAGACTTGGGGATATTAGGACGGTAGGGCATTCTGTCCCCCTGCTGGGTCCTAAAACACCTTCCTGCTCTTACAGCCGACTGTAGACAGGAGCCTGTGCCCAGGAAGGCCCGGGGGGGGGGGGGGTTTGCCAATCTGCCTCACCCCAGTGTGATGAGCCCAGCAAAGGGTGACAGTTTCCATTCCGTACCTCTAGGCCCCACTCATAAAGTCCCATGGGTGCGAAAATGAGAGAGATCCCTCCTTAGTCACTACACCTACCAGCCAGGCAGCCTGGGACAGGCGGGACATGCTTACCTTGCCCTCGCCACTGGGAGGTGACACTGCCCCAGGAGTCTTCCGCAGCCTCGCCTCTGCCCAGAAGCTCCTCCCTGATGCCCACGGCAGGAGGGATCCTTGTTTGTTCTTGGTTCATTAAGGGGCTGCCCAACTGGCCACTAGGAGCACAGCTCTGCAGCCAGGCCACCAGGGTACAAACCCCAGCCTGGCGCCTGCTGTGTGACCTTGGAGAAATGGCTTCACCTCTCTGTGCCGCAGATAGCCGTCCATTACATGCAGATAATCATAATTCTGTGTGAGATGGCAGCTGGCATCGAAACAGTACCTGTGACCGGATGCCTGGCTGAGCAACTCAAGGAAGGAAGGTCTCTTTGGGTTCACAGTTTGAGGGTGCAATCCATGGCGTAGTGCCATGCACATTCAGGGTAGGTCTTCCACCTCAGCTAGCGTAATAAGAAACTCCGTTCACAGACACACTCCCAGACTTGACTCTTGGGTGACTAGATCCTATCAGGTTCACAGAATTAACAATCACAGCCTGTAAGGCGTTTGTTTGCGGCACTCCCCGGACACGCTGGGTCCTGAGACAGTGTCACTTGGATCCATTATTTCTCTAGCCCTGCAGTTGCCTCCCTCCCTCCCGAGGGAGCCAGCTTGCCCAGGCAGGCTCCTGGCTGCAGCAGGTGCTGGCTCCTGGCCTCCCGACTAAAGGGTTCCTGTGGGGGTGGGTGGGTCTTGGCTTGCCTCCAGAGTGAGTTGCTCTGGGTCTCCTGGGAAGGGTTCCGGTCTCGGCTCCCACAGAGGCAGGTCTGTTTACAAACCTGCTTTGGAGACACCGGTCAGAGGTGTGCGGTGCCAACTTGCCTGGTTTCCCTGGGGTTGAGATGCTGAGATACAGGCTGGATGGCAAGAATCCTACGAGAGAAGCAAAAGAATGGTCAGTCTAAAAAAAAAATAATCCAGACACCACAGCAGGAGGTCCCCGCTTCTAGTGGCCGCTCCTTAATTCCAGATTCCCCTGCCTCTGTCATTAAGTGTGGGAGGCCAGGTTCCTGCAGGAGAGGGGACTCAGGTCCTGAGGCTACAGCTTTGCAGGCAACCTGGGGCTGCCCTGGCAAAGAGTCACTACCAGTAGCTGGCTTCAGGAAAGGATTCTCTATGGATTCTCCATGAGCTGGGAAGTCTGTACCAGGGTATCAGCAGCGTGTTCTTTCCGGAGGCCAAGAGCCCCCAAAGGCCCAAAGCCCTTCCTCTTGGCTTGTGTGGCCATCTGTCCCCTAGGCCTCTTCACACTGTCCTTTGTCTGAGTGTGTCCATCTGTGTGTCCACATTTCTCCTCCTGATTGACCACCATGGGGTCTCACTGTGTTGCTCAGGCTGCTCTCAGGCTCCTGGGTTCTAGTGAGCTTGTTGCCCCCGCCTCTCATGCGGCTAATGTACAGGCACATGCCACTGCACCCAGCTTAGATTTCCTCCTTTCGATAGAGGCAACATCAAGATCCACCCTCAGTTTAGCCAGTCACACCCATGTTCAACCGAGGCCACGTCTGGGGCTGGAGGTCAGGGCTTCACACCTGAGTTTGGGTGGGGCTGGATCTACCAGCAGCAGTCGGGGGCAGGAGCTGAGACCACTCTGGTTTTCTGTGAAGGTCACAGAGGTGAAAGACATTGCAGTAACCCTCCTCTTCCTGCCCCCCTCCACTCTTCTTCATCTCCTTTTAACAATCTCATGTAGCCCAGGCTAGCCTTAAACTCATTAGGTAGCCAAGGATGACCTTGAACTTGATTGTCCTGGCTCCACCTTCTGTGTGCTAGAATTACAGGTGAATGCTACTACGCCCAGTTTATGTGGTGCTGGGTGGGGGTCACACCTGGGTTTCCTGCATGGTAGGCAAACGCTCTGCCTGAGTCACCACCCCAGCCCCATAACAGTTCTTTACTGTTTGGTAGGCAGGTGCATGCAACCTGTTTCAGTTTCTCGTATCTCTGTCTCCTTCCCCTACACAGGGTGCCCTTCTGCTATTGATCCTCTGGTTCTACTCCCCAGGTCACCAGCGCCTTGCAGCCTCTGACCCCAGCTGTACACTACCTGGACTCAGCTGGTGGCAGGGACACAATCACCACGGTGTCGTGGCTGCTGCTGGGCCTTCCACGGCTCTTGGCGGTGGGCAACGTCTCGGCCATGCTGGATGATATGGTGACTCGAGTCTACGAAGTGATCAGCATCCAGGTGCAAGGTGGGCCTGCCCTGGGGGGACACTGCCAAGCTGACTCTGCCACCTGGTCCCAAGCGCACCGTTAAAGCAGGCTGAGCTCAGATGTGGGAGATCACTGGTTCAGGTGTACTGTTCTGCAGAGCATGGGGATGGTTTGGCTCATCGTCTGCTCACTCTGGCCCAGACCAAGTTTAAACCCAAGTTCCCATGTGCAGATTTGGGGGATTTATTTTGTCCCATCAGCACCTGCCCCCAGCATACGTGTGCACACACACACACACACACACACACACACACACACACACACACATACATACACACACACACACACACACACACACACACACACACACACACACACACACACAGTCTCCTCCACTCCCTTCCCTCCTCCCTAGCAAGCCTGCCCATGGTACACTACACTGTAAACCACAGATAACACATGGAAAACTCAAACCCTAGATATGGCCTTATTTCAGAAAGAAATTAAAATACCTATGGCTTAAAAAAGAAAACTATGTCAGGGATTGGCAAAGGTTTTTGAAAACATTTGATGGTCTGTCTCAGCTCCTTAGGCCTGTTTCTGGCCTGCAGCAGTCGCTGGTGTATGAGCAAAGGGCTGGGGACTGATAACCTCCTCCTGGTGAGGCTGGGGGCAGGTGCAGCTAGGCGCCTGGGTAACCTTGTCTCCAGTGTCAATCATGTTGGGAGTGGAGCCCATGACCAAAGCACTCATCTTGTCCTTCTGAAAATGTCCCTCAGTCACTGGTCACAGGCCCATTCCTGGAGACCAGGGAGCATCCTTCGCTAGAACCTGCTACAGATGTGGACTTTCACTGCGTGGTTTGGGGAGGTTCGCATTGACAAGGTTTGGTTCTAGATTGGAGACGGCCATAACGTGTGATCATGGTACAATTGGTTATCTCTGTAAATCACGTGCATAGAAAGTAGGAAATGCATGAAGATGAATAACTAATAACCACACACTTATTTTCCCCCAGGAGAAGAGGTTGGTACTTTGTGAGTGACCATAAGCTTTCCTGCTTGTGCTTAAGCACACTTAGCTATGAGATGGCCTAGCTTTGCCCTGTTCATCACGGAAGAGTGGCTTTATGTGAGGCAGGTGTTCTGGGGCCGTGGGTGGGAAGATGACGGATCCAAGACTGGGGGCCAGGCAAACGGGAAAAGTTAGTGACGTTTCAGATTCCCTTTAGCTCAGGAAACTTCTGATTCCCTTGGTTTACTCTTGGGCTTTTTGTGCCGTGACCACTGGGACTCAGGTCAGCCCCAGAGCCATGTGCTCAGGCCTGGGATCAGCAAGCTGCCAGTGAGCATGCTTTGACCTTGCCTGAATCTGCGGGAGGCTGCATCAGAGCATCACGGAGAAGGAGGAAGGAGCTGCGATGTTATCTCACCTGCCCCCCCCCCCACTTTCCACAGATGTGAATGAGTGTTTGCACAGTGAGCTCCACGCCTGCTCTGAAGGAGAACAGTGTCTGAACACGGAGGGCTCCTACCAATGCGTCGCTACCCAGCAGCTGAACCCCGCAGACGAAGGTAATGCTGGAGTCCTCAGATGGCGTGAGAATGGCAAAGAGGCCATGTCTAGGGTAGATGGCCTACAGACCTCAGCTACTCCTGCTGGCTTCCTGTGAGGGTGTGAGGTCTAGGCTCCAAAGCCTGGAGCAGAGGAATGTCACAGGAGGCTGGAAGGCTGAAGAGAATGTGAGGAGTCGTGGGCAGATAAGGCATACTTTATTTATTGGTGCTCAGGCCATTGGGCAGGAAGACAAGATCAGACACTTAGGTACATGCTGGCATGTATAAGCCACATACAGGCGGAAGCAGGTACAAACAGGCCAGTGCACAGGCCTACAGGCAGACACTCGCAGGCAGGCTGGCGAAGACACAAAGCTCTGACCTTAAGGCTATATTTATGTAGAATCATACAAAAGCGACATTCTTCCAGGAATAGTTACATTCCACCACTGATTACTTTTGTATGTCTGTATCAATCATTTTGTGATGACCCGTGCCCCCTGCCCTAGATGTTCAGCATTAGGCGTCTGGGCCCGGAGATTCATCAGCGCCATGTTGTCTAAACGTAAACTGGCTGGTACAGCCTCCTGTGCTCTCAGCTCCCAGGTGTAGAATGGCTGCTGGGTCCCTGCAGCCACGCCTGCTCCCCTGTCACGTTTGCATTCATTCTTGGGTATGGCACCTGTCTGGCTAACGCGTGGCTTGCATTGGAAACGCCATGACCAGATCAGAACCCTGCTCTCAGATGCCCCCTGGAGAGTGGCCGTGGGCGGCACATGCATAGGACAGTTACTAATTTCCTGTGGTGCTGAAGGGAGAAAGAGACTCAAGGGATATTTATACCCAGCCCAAAGGGACGGGCTGAGTTTATCTCCGGCTTTGCATGGGTGATGTAAAGATAAAGCTGGAGGTGGAGGCCAGGAGGCTATGGGAGGCTTTGAAAACACACACACACACACACACACACACACACACACACACACACACACACACACACAGTGTATGTAATCAACAACAGCACCCCCACTCCCACTCCGGCTTGGCCAGCCTGCCTCTCCTCCCACCTCCCATAATCACCGAACCTTCATCATCTTCATCATAGTTACACTAGAGTGTATCTCTAAGACATAAGAGATGCTCATATCCATCACCTGTTGCTGTCCCTTTGTAGTCAAGGTAACTTCTTAATACTCAGTATCCAGTCTCGGAAATGTGATGTTCTCTTCATTATCATCTTTAAAGTCTGAGCTTACATTTCAGCTGCGTTCACTGCTCATCTCTGACAGCTCTGGGCCTATTTACTTTAACTTAGATTGTTTTCCCTCTTTCTCTGCTTCTGTCCCTTGTCATTGTGGGTATTCTGGCCTCTCCACCCAGAATCTCAGATGCATCCTGGTGCAGGGTAGGGACAAATTAGAGACCTAGACAGAGACGCCATGCCATCCTATGGGCTGGACTTTGTGACTATCTCCCTGGAAAGTCCATGGTATCCTGTGATGGGCACTTGGCTTTGGAGTAGGGATCCCCCTCTCGTTGGCCCCAGACCCCATTAGTGCCTGGTTGGGCTAAGAGCACTTCAGAGAATGGTCCCAGTGTATATACACATAGATAAGAGTGGACCTCACAGCCAGGGTGAAGCTCTGACTGCCCCTTATGCAGGGTTCCCCTGCTGCCCCTTACACAGTGAAGGCTCTGTGTCCCTTCCTAAAGATATTCAGGCTGGATTCTGGGTACACCCAGCCCCTAATCTTTCTAGGTGGGATGTGCAGCGTTATCTCTTGGCCTCCTTTGGCCCCTGATGGCCACCTCTTCTCCTGGTGTTTTCTCCCCAGGTCTTTCAAACCCAGATATGAAATTTTTGTCTCAGGTGCATCCTGGTGTTGGGCAGGGGAAGATTATACACCTAGATCGAGACCCCATATCACCTTCTCCCTGCTCAGTGGAAGAAACCCATGGAGTTTTGCATGCACATGCTCTGCTAAAACTGCCTCGTGTCCCTTCTTCCCCTGAAGGTGACAGGTCATGTCACTCAACTCTAGTGACAGAGAGGTAGTGGAACATGGCTCAGGACTCACGAGTTATGGATATCTTGAGGAAATGCCAGAGATAGCAAGGCCACATTGTACATCTCTGCAATATAAGGACCTTGAAGGTTCTGGTGTTGAAAATGAAGACAGATAATTACCACATCCATTCTGCCTACAAAGCACCCCTGTCCCTGGGGAGCACATGACCTTGAGAGTCCGCAGAATTGCATGACTACTTCACACACCATTATTCCAAGGAGCTTGGTGTGTGTCCCTGTGTGCCAGAGATTCCCTGGTCTGTGGACTCCAGGCTAAGAATCCTGTCCCTGCAGTGGGAAGGCAGTCTATGACAGAGACACATTGACTCTGGCCAAAGGCTTTATAAGATGCTCAGTTCTCTCTGCAGTTAGTTATGCTGCCCACTAAATTGGGTTACACTTTTAGACACAATAAGCCTCTAGGAGCCTTTCAGATCAAGGGCTGAGAATAGATGGGGGACATGACCAGGGAAGGCTGCCCCTCCTTAGTCACACTTCTCAGAGGGTGGAACAGGCAGGCGTGTGTGTGTGTGTGTGTGTGTGTGTGTGTATGTGTGTGTGTGTGTGTTCAGACTGGAGAGTCGAAGCCAATTTTGTCTGCATATTGCTATGAGGACCATGTGTATTTTAAATTTAGAAGCTAATACAAATGAGCAATCTGTTGGACCAGCTCAGCCACACAAGTTGCTGGAAAATACAGCATGAATTTCAGATGCATTCCTTGTGAAATTAGTCACCCAACTGATGGTCCGTGGGGCAGCTGGATTCTCTCCCACAACAGCCAAAAGAAATCTTGCATGATTCGCCCTTACTATTCCAGGAGTGCGTCCTGCTTTGAGGAAGGCCTGAGTCCTTCCCATACTAACTTCAGGCTCAACTGACACCTGCCAGCTTTTTAATCTGTCACCTAGATTTGTGGTCTGGTGGAACTGGGGTGCCAGCTGAAGAGGTGAGCATAGTTGGCATGGAGTAAAGGGTCCTGTTCTCCGAGGCAATGCTTGTGGCTTCATTTCAAGTCTGATTTCAATACTCAGAGTCTTTGACTGAGTCTGTCACCAATGCTTCCCACTCCGCAAGGCTTGGGGCTCAAGCTGTTGGAGTCGGGATAAAAGGGGCAGGTCTGACAGAGAGATCTCATGAAGACTGGTGTCCCATCTTCCTCCCCATCAGAGGGGGTGGGGCAGGGCTTCCTGAATAGAATGAGAGCCCAGGCCCACAGCCCTGGTGACAGTGATGAACATCTCCAAAGGGACCACCAAGTTTTGGGGTTCTATCCTCAGCCACAGGAAGAGGAGAGCCACAGAACAAGACCTTTGGCCTGGATTTCAGAAGATCAGGGTTTCTGTAGGACTTTGCGGTGTGAACAGTGATCTACCACCTGAGATAAGACTCCAACAATAGACCAGAGAAATACTTCCAGCCAAGCCGAGCATGGGTTTATCTACAGGAGCGTGGATGGCTCCCAAACAGCCACATCAGTGACAAGCACCATTCCAGCATGGATGATGCCTCCCCCACACCTGCTGAGATGTGATCTCCTGTTTTCTTAGCTTTCCGCTCTCTAGCACCTGTTGAGACCACATGCAGCTGGGAACAGGACTGGAGGAGGACATGGCTGGAATCTCGGGGTCTAATGACCTTCCCTGTCCCTTCTTCCCATGAAGGCGAGTCATCAGGCCAGATCTGTGGAGTCTCTTTCAGGGGTTCACAGGTGCTCTCACGATGGGGTTGTTGTCTCCTAAGTTGGAGGACAGAGGTCCCCACACCCTTAGATCATGGGAAGCATCAAGAGTCCAGTGTCGTTTCCTAGGGCCATGTTAAGCCTCAGAGTGATCATGGGGGCTAGGGAAGCATCTTGGTTGGTGGAGGATGAAATCAAGTCCCTGGGGTAGAGAGAGTGAGTTGGAAGAAATAGTTTTCACATTAAAGCACCCCAGGGTGGTCCTACAGAGGCAACTTGGCCTTAGAATGCTCCAGCTGTCTGTTTACTGCACACAACTCACAAGCTTCTCCACCCAGTGTGGGAAGGCTGCCTGGCAAGCTCACTGAAGTAACCCGAGGATGTATAACCACCCCGAAGCTGCTGTAACAAAGCACCACAGACAACATGGCTTAAATCACGGAAATGTGTCCTTTCACAGTCCAGGAGGCCACAAGCTCAAAACAGGCATCACTGGGCCCAAATGAAGGGAAGGTTGGGCGGAGGGTCCTCTGGAGCTCTGGGGGACAACTTGCTCCTTGCCTGTTCTGCCTCTGATGGCGGCCAGCCCTCCCCAGCTTGTAGCTGCTTCTCTGGCCCTTGGAGTCAATGAATTTGGTCCTTTCGCCACTCCGTCCTCACGTGACCTCCTGTTCTTATGGTAACTCAGCTGTCCCTCTGACCTTCTCTTATGAAGACACCTGTGGTTGCATTTAGGACCACCCTGGACTTAATCACACCTGCAAAGGTTCCTTTTCTGTGTTAGAGCTCCGGGGCTCTGGACCTGGCGTCTCTCAAGGTCCTCATGCATTCTCCTCCTGGTGGTTGGATAGTTTAGGAGCAGAGCACGTGACCCCTGTCGTTGGTTATTAGACAGTTTTATTTCGCTTTGACTTTCCTAGGCCTTGGCTTTTGTCTCCCCTAAAGTGGGGCCATAGAAGGACGTCTTATCTGGGATTGAGGTGAAGATTCAGTGGGCTCAGAGGACTGGGTCACACAGCACTCAGAGGAAAGACATTGTAGCAGTCATGGATGGCTTGGATGGGAGGTGGCGTGCATGCCATGGAGGCCCCTTATGAGCTTATAGCATGGAGTGTCAATGCAGCCCTGTCCCCATGATTGCCACAATGCAGGCGGTGATCTGGACACTTCCCTGTGCCTGCCAGGCACAGAGGTGGCTGTGAATTCTTCGTTTCCTGAGTGTCTGTGGCAATGTTGGGTTAATAAATCCCAAGCTGTGGGAAACTGCCATTGCTGTGGGTCAAGGGTGGTTGAATGTGGACAACTGTGACTCCCTCAAGGAAATATATCAGAGAAGGAGGCACACGAACATCTCCACGTACCGCTGCCCTCAGGGGGTGTGCTTCTGGATCAGAAAGGATTTTCTTCCTGCCCGTGTTGTTGGAGCAATTTCCACAGATGCCTGGAGGGTCTCATAGCAGTCAGAGCGCAGAGTTCGCAGCCCTTACCCCTTCGATCAAAGAACCACCAGACCTCAGAGAGTGAGGCGCCATGTGCGCTGCCAACGGGCCACCCCTCACCTGCTTTCTGACCTATTCTTCGCCTTCCTTTCAAGGTGTCTTGTTTTATGTAAATCCCACCCAATCAGAGACATGGTTAACCAAACACCCTTGTAAACAGCGGCCTGACAGGCAGGCTGTCTACTGGAGTGGTAGCAGGGGACTCAGAGAGGCTGTGTGCTGCTCGCTGGCTTCTGGACAGCCCCCAGCCCCCCCTTCCCTATTGACTCGTATACTGCCACGTTGCTGTCCTCTGTGGATGTGGACTCGGCAATGTTTGTCCTTGATAGTCTCTACTATAGGAACAGCACAGCCAAGGCTTTCAGCATAGTTTCTGAGAGGTGAGTGTAGCCGTCCCTTGGTCCCTCTCTCCTTCCTTCTTTCAAGAGCATCTGCTCCCAAGCACCGGCCAGTGAGCTGTGCAGGGACTAGAAGGGCAGAGTGGAACTTTCCACTTCAGGGTCCCAGAGACTGGAGCTGGGGGTGAGAACCATAGTTAGACCTGGGCTGCAGCTGGCCCTTGGCTGGTACACACTCTGCATTCTCTGCCACTGAGGAAAACACCATTGTCTTAGGTTTCTGTTACCATGATAAATGTCATGACCAAAAGCAACTTGGGGAGGAAAGGGTTTATTTTAACTTACAACTCATAGTCCATAAATGAAGGGAAATTGGGACAGGAATTGAAGCAGAGTCCATGGAAAAACACTGATTTTAGCTTGCTTCCCGTGGCTTGCTCAGGCTGCTTTGCCCCCAGCCAGCACCCAGGACCACTTTGCCCAGGGGTGGCACCGCCCACAGTGAGCTGGGCCCTCCCACATCAATCATCAATCAAGAGAATACCCATAGAGTCGCCCACAGGACAGTCTGAGGGAGGCGTTTCCTCAGCTAAGGTCCCTCTTCCCAGATGGCTCCAGCTTGGGACAAAACCCAACCCAGACAACCATCACGTGAGCAACTGGACACACATCTGTTTCTGTAGCTGAGGCGTCAAAGCACACTCACTTCTGCATCCTAGACGTGTCCCAAGGAAACAGACAGACTTGAGAGGTCGTCACTGGTCTGTCTATGGAGGCATGGGGCTTCGGCTTCTGGTAACTTAAGCCAGCCATCTTGAGGGGCTCTGAGAGAGCTCTTCATGAGGAACTCCCCACACAGTGAACCAGCATGACCAAAGGTGGTTAATGCTGGTCGGAAGGAGCAGGCAGAGGGCCGTGTTGGAGAATTGTGACTGTGTACCACACTTGCCTGTGGGAATCCTGCCAGTCAAGGAAGAGAGGGGAATGGACTGACTGCTCTTCTGATCTTTTCTGAAGGAAACAGTCATGTGCATTGGAAAGACATAATTTTCATACCATTAAGAAGTAAATATCCTTTAAACACTTTTTTATATGCATGTGTGCAGATGTGTGTATGTTTATGTGTGTGCATATGCACGTGTGTACACAGGACAGCCTCAGGGGTCATTCTGAGATGCTATTCACCTGTCCCTCTCCCCCTGCTTTGGACACAGTGTCTCTCACTGAACCCAGTGCTCTTTCAAGCAGGCTGGATTCATGATCCATGGGGATCTGCCTGACCCTGCCTCCCTCGATGCTGGGATCATGAGCTATGGAGGAAACTCAGCCCAACTCCCAGACCAATGACTGAGGGTCAGTAGAATGACATTCTTGTGCACATGCAGTTAGCATGGCCGTATCCTGGGAATGCATGTTGAGGCTGTATTCACAGGCACAGCCTGGCCACAGCACAGCACAATGGCCTTCACTAGAGACATCTTTCTGTCATGTGTCACAGTCCCCATAGACTGTTCTAACTCCTGTGTGTGGGTGCATGTGGAGGCCAGGCACTGACATCACCTGACTTCCTCCCACCCACCCTTGTTACTCACCTTAGTGTCTACACACATGTGTGGTGTGTGCACATATGTGCTTGTTTATGTGTGTGCATGTGCATACACATGTGTGTTCATGTTCACACACATGTGTGTGTTCATGTTCACACATGGAGGCCCAAGCTCGACTTTACGAGTCTCCCTTAATTGTTCTCCACTTTATCCTTTGAGGCAGGGTCTCTTACTTGGGCCAGAGCTTGTCAATGTGATTAGTTTAGACTCACTAGCCAGCTTGCTAGTGATCCCCTCTCCCCCAGTGCTGGAATTACAGGTAGCTTCCATGACTACTGGACACTTACATGAGTTCTGGGGATCTGGTCCTTTCTCCCACTTTCCAGGCAATCACTTTATCTATGGAGCCATCTTCCTAGGCCTCCACCCTAGTTCTTTAACTGAGTAAGGTAGTTAATTACTGTAAGACGACCGAGCGTTGTTCTGCACATCGGTCTCCTTGCCAGGTAAGCAGGTGGGACTGGAGCTGGGATGCTTCCCACCTGAGGCCCCGGTGTGTTTCTCCCTAGACTGCCCTCCAATCCAAGACTTGGTGGCGCTTGATGTCACGAGCAGCAGTTTTCACGTGTCCTGGAGTCTGAATTCCACTCAGAACCACACTTTCCATGTCCAAGTGTACAAAGGCAGAGAAACACTCAGAAGCACCCAGACGAGGAGCCGGACTCTGGCTGTGCCTGGGTTGGAGGCTGGAGTACTGTACAGAGTGAGGACCAGCTACCAGGGGTGCGGGGCCAATGTCTCGGCCACACTGCTTGTCAAGACAGGTAAGGACACTTGCAGAAAGCCATGTTTCCTTGAGTGGGTGCTTCTGTCCCAGAGTTCTGGCGACCCAGCATGTCACAAGAGCCTTCCTGCATGCAGGGGGTGGGATGTGACTGCCCCCGCTGTGTGTGGCCCACACTGGACTGAATGCCGTGTGGTGCTCACATGGGTCCCTTGCTTGTTGACTCACAGGCCCTGTGGAAACCTGCTAGTCTGATGTACATGGATGTTGTCAGAGAGTGTGTCCACAGATGGTGTGCCATAGGCATTCAATCACACAAACCCCTTCGGGATGATCTAAATAGTTTTCCACCATCAGGGCTGGGCAGCCCAGTGGTATCTAGATGAAATGGGAACACATCCTATTTCCTGTGGTCCATAGCATCCACCCTACCAGTGCCAGTAGGGACAGATTCTCCCAAATCTACAGGACACATGCATATGCTTGGACCTCTGGCACCGGGTGGCAGCTAAGGTGGCCATCCAGTCCTTACAGGTGGCCCACGCGGCCCTGCCTGGACATGGTAATTTACAGACCTCACCAGTCTAGGCAAGGTAATAAGATGGCTCCCTTAGTTCTGAGGCTGTGATGTGTCGAGGAGGGCGTTCTGAGACCCTGAAGCCCTGGATTCTCTGTTCTACCCCTCCCCTAGCACAGATGGTAGCTGCAGGCTGGGGTGGGGCTCATTGTTTCTACAGAGTCTGCTGCCCTTCTAACAGCGACTTAGGCTTATCACAGGAGCGTGTTCTGAACAAACAGCGAGTGTGGATTTGGTTCCAGGTGTCCCCTGGGAGGAATGTCTCCCCCGGGATCAGAACCTCCCACAGCCTTGACAACACTCCAGTGGCCGTGACATGCACATGTGGACTGTTGGGTTGACCTTGGCCTGTGGGCCCAGGCTCTCCATCCCTGGTGGAGCCAGGTTGGAGTTAGTCTGTGGCTTGCTGTCAGTAGTCAGGGAGCATGATGGCATGATGGGCTGTAGCGGAGCCCACCCCGATGCCTGTGCACGCTGAGTTTACTCTCATAAAAGAGACATAGGTTCCCAGTCTCCACGTTGAGGCTTTCTTCAGCCTCTAGAGGAGAGGTGACCTCATGGCAGTGGACCAATCAGTTTGCCAGGTACAAAGAGGTGGGATTTTCAGTGCTGAAACCCAGAAGGTTCTAGCAAACTGGGACCAGCAGTCACTCTAATGTAGGGGGCCTGGGTAGTGATTGAACATGAGGACTTGGCCAGGCCAGGTACTCAGTGCATTTCCCTACCTCAGGAAAGGTCAGCTGGAGGGGCCTTGGGACCCTCTATGTACAACCTGAAACCCAGTTCCTACAAGTATGGACCCTGTGTGGTGACTCAGGGTCCCTGTCCCAGCTGACAGAGTGCATCTGATATTGACCAGGTCTTTCACTCCAGTGCGGATGTCAGCATCGCCGTGTCTTATACCATTTTCTGCAGTTTGACCATCCTGGCCTAAAACTGATGTCTCAATTTCTTTTGTGTACCAATTCATTAAGAGGCTTTTAGCAACACACAGACAGAAAAGCCCGTGACTGTTTCTGTGTGCATGGTGCTGGCGATTGGCCTGGGCTGTGTGCGTGCCAGGCAAGTATTCTACTGCCTAGGTATACCTTAGCCCCTGCGAGTGACGCCCCCCTCTCAGGGTTTGGGCTGATTTGTGTCACTTCTGTCTTAGATGCCCGGGTTTTCCAAGTCACCATACGGATCATGGACCGTAACCTGACAGAGCAGATTCTCAACTGCAGCAGCGAGGAATTCAGGAACTTTTCTCAACAGCTGTTTCTTGAGGTAGCAGGAGGGCAGACCATTGGCCTGCCCTCAAATCCTCAGAATAAGGATGCACTTTATGTATGCACAAGCACGTGCGCGCGCACACACATGCACACGCATGCACACACTTACACATACACATCAACAACCTGGTTCCTCCCTGTGGCTGAGCCAAGTCATATGTCTTGTAACAGCCCAAGGAAGGTCACATCCACGGACCACAGCCCCTCATAGGATAGAAATCCTCCTTCAAATAAGTACCTTGATCGTACGGCTGGACTTGCTGTGTAAGGCTCTGCCTTGGGGTGCTGTTAGCCTGTGTGGCTTCATAATAGTTTCCTGAGCGCAGCCTCTGCTACCGATCTTAGCCTCGTTGGCCCCCGTGGCTGGCAGGAGACCCTGACACTAAGCCTGGGAGCCGGGCCAGTATCTGCTGTCTAACATAGGTTCTGGGCTCGGGGGAGAGCTGACTTCTGCAGCTGTCCAGGGTTTTACCTTTTTTGGAAAATCACAGACTAGCTTGATAGAGTATTACAGATGCTGGCAGAAGACCCGAGGTTCCTGGCTCAGCGACAGAGTGCCTGTCACGGCACAGCGGGGGTCCTGAGAGCCATATAAGGCTGGCTCCCCATCTCGCCCCTTCCCCAAGGATGATGCCCATGAAAAGCCTTTGTGTCCACGAAGGGGACGTCCCTAAGCAGAGCAAACCCTGCCTTAGGGAGCCCAGATCTTTCAGACCCTAAATTGTGTTCCAGAAGGGGAGGTTATGTTCATTCGCTCTTGGATGGTAGAAAGGACTGTCTTTTGTTCTGGAGAGAGCCACCATCCTGAGGTCCCCGGGTTCCTCTGCATACCAACCTTCCTGGAAAGAGTCCCGGACAAAGGGACCTGGGGTCTTCTATTTGCAAAATGGCCAGACTGCTGGGGAGAGGGGTGCTCTTGATATCTGCCTCTAGGGATGCCCGCTATTTTTAGGTTTATTTTTGAAAGACAAGGTCTCATTCTGTATCCTAAGCTGGCTTAGAACTCAGTGTATATCTCAGGCGGCCCTTGAATTAGAGGTGGTCCTCCTGTCTCGTGCCCAGGAGCAGCTCTTGAAGGCACACAGAGAGCTAGTTTTTTGTTTTGGGGCCTCCCCCAAAAGCTAATCCCAGTGCTCACGGGATGATTGGCAGGAAGGTGGGGGGGGGGGAGAGACATAGCCCCAAGGAATCATGGGAACTGTTCATTGGTAGCCCCTCCTTGTCAGTCAGTCAGTCCATCAATCAAGCTGACAGTCCCTGCATTTCACCCACATACACACGTCCCCCTCACACTTACTTCCAGGGCAGTTGGGTGGCCTGTCCACGTGTACCCGGGGCCTGGGTTGTAGTGGGTGCTGTGTGTTTCCCTTAGCTGTTCCAGGGAGAGCTGGGTGGGCCCCGTGGCTGGGAAGGCGCGTCTGCTAACCGTCTGCACCCCTGTGTGTCTCCCGGGTAGGTGGAAAACTCCTTGCCCCCAGCCATTTTTGACATGTACAGACGAGGGAAGCTGAGGCTGCAGATCGTGTCCCTGCAGCCAGGGAGCCTGGTGGTGACACTTTTAGTCACCCTGCAAGACCCTGAGTTTCCCGTGGGGGTCTCCACGCTAAGGCCCTTAATCCAGCGGCTGGCTGTCAGCACCGTGTTCCGGGTTGACCAGCAGGGGACGCTAGTGCAAGGTACGGCTTTTCCCAGCAGGGCAGCAGGGCATACCTCCAGCTCACAAGCAGCCCCAGCTGCAATTGTTTGAGCCAAGCTTCCCTTTACCTGAAAGGCGAATAAAATAAAAGTGTGAATTGTATCCTGGCATCCTCTATGAGAACCAAGGGCCAGGGCCGGAAGCTCCTCCTGGCGCGTGGGCCCATTCCCTCTGGATGATGCCTTTTGCAGTCACTGGTCCAGCACACAGAGTATGAAAGGAGACTAGGGGTCCATGGCGGGCGGGGGGGGGTGCGAGAGGGAGTGTGGGGGAAGAATGGGGATCCCTGTGTCTGGTGGTCAGGACACAGTACTACCGTGTCTGTCAGTCAACTGCTCACGTGTGGGGTCTGCTCCGTTAGCCCTGGTGGTAATTCATTTTGCCTTGATGCAGGGCAAGCCAAAGAGAGCGAATTTTCACACGGCGTGTTGAACAGACTTGGGAGGCCCACCAGTGGCCAACGGTTGTCTGTAGGAAGGGCAGGAAGACTTCCATCCGCTGCCCTCTTGTTTCCTGACCAGGCTGACCCCTTTCTCACGGACTCTGCCTCCTCTCCCCACAGACTGGGACGAGTGCGCACACAGCTCTGAGCACGACTGCCACCCAGCCGCCCGCTGCATCAACCTGGAGGGCTCCTACACATGCCAGTGCCTCACAGCCAGGGACGCCAACCCCTCCCGGCCTGGCCGGGTCTGCAAGGGTGAGCATTCCCAGCGTGCTCTGAGGCCTGCGGTGGGAGCGCGGCCAGCACGGCCAGGCATAGTGCGAAGGGCCACAGCAATGTTTCTGGTTTTTTTGTTTGTTTTATTCAGAAGGAATTAATGTGATGGTAAACGTACCTAAGAGCAAATGCAGTGTGGCTCTTTAGTCCACAGCAGTTGTAAAATATAATTGGAGTAGATTTCTTTTTATAAATGGGTAAAAGAGCCCACGTAAGCTGAGTACCCCAGCTCCAAGGAAGTCATGAAATGTCCTCAGGAGTAGGGAGTCCTCTCTTGATGGCTTCAAGATGGATAGACTTGTAGAAACCAGGTGTGCTAGAAAAGGGCCCCCCTGGGGGGGGGCTCCTGAGTCCTAGCCCTACCACATCTCTACCGCTCAAGTCTTTTAGCAGGAGGTGGGGGGTGGGGGCTGAGCTAAGAAGCAGGAGGCAGTTACTTGCAGATCTCTGATGCTGTGTCTGGTTAGTTATGTCTGCCCTTACACACAGCAGCTACTCTGTCTGATTAGTCATGTCTGCATTGGGAGCATGCTGGAGCAGAGGTGTTCTCCTCCTCCTCTTCCTGTGCCTCTTCTATCTATCTCTGTCTGTCTGTCTCTCTCGTGTGTGCATGTGGGGGGAGGCATTCACACCTGTAAGTGCATGTGCTTGTGGAGGCTGAACGTCAACCCTGAATGTCATTCCTCAGGAACCATACACCTTGTGCTAGGATTAAAGGTGTGTGCACCACTACAGGGTCTGTCACAGGGATCTGAAACTCACAGATAAGGTTGACTGACTGGTTACTGAGCCTCAGATATCCTCCTGCCTCTGCTTCCCCAGAGCTGGAATCCCAAGTGCACACTACTATGACTGGCCTTTTGTTTTATTTTATTTTATTTTTTTTAGGGTTACATTTAGTTATGCGTCTGCATGCTCGTCTCTGTGGGTGGGTGTGCATTAGTGCAGTTGCCTGTAGAAGCCAAGAGAGGGCGCCAGATTCCCTAGAGGTGGAGTTACAGGGCATTGTGAGATGCCTATTGAATCTGGGACCTGAACTTGTGTCTCCTGGAAGAGGAGGAGCAAGTGTTCTTCACTGCTAAGTCATCTTTCCAGGCTCACCAAGGCGGGGGCGGTGGGCGGAGGGGACACGACAGATCTTTTGCAATGTATTGTGTTTCTCTAGGGAAATCTTTTGCTGTGGGGAGACTCTGGTGGCCTTGCTGGCTCTTTCTGGAATCTGACAGTGGATGCATTTTGCAGGTGACATGGTGACCCCCACAGGAGGTGGACTGTCTGTAACAACAAAGGTCACGGCCCCAACTGTCAGCGTGGGAATAACAGGCTTTGGCCCAGAGACCCTTACCTTGTCACCAAGTCCCAGGCACCCAAGGAGCACCCCAACAAGAAGTCAAGCTTGGACCCCAGGGCCTCCATCTGGGAGAGAAGGTAGCAGCACAGCCAGGCAGGAGAGGACTAGCACATGGCAAGGTGTGGAGATGCTCAGCACGGCCCCAAGCCTGGGAACAAGCCATGGAGGTCCCAGCAATGTGACAAGCTCCTTTCCCAGCACTCCAGGGCCAAACCATGGGTCCCCTCCGAAGACCACAAACATCCCACTGCATTCCACTGGAGAGCCACAGGAAACCTTCACCATAGGCCCACCCTCAGTGACCACTTCACCCACAAGCTATGTAGTGTGGCACCCCAGTCCCATTGGGGAGACACCCCCTCCGACCTCCACAAGACTGCAGAATGAAGACTCTCGACCTTCCTCCTTCCCTGGCCTGCCATCAGCCTCGACCCCTGTGGCTCCAGAGCCCCCTGCCTGTGGTGAGTCATCAGGGGGACAGGGAACCCAGCAGAAACCCCGGCCTGTGTGAGTCCCAATGTCAGGGTTGCCAGAAACGTGGAGTGTCCTTTCTCATCTCGAATGTATGTGGACCCCGTTATGGCACAGTGGGGTCCTCTGCGGCAGGTGTCTGGTCTAGTTAGAAAGAGAAAGGCTCCCTTTCCATCCCTTACCTTCTCCCCCTTACTTCCTAAGAGCGCTTGGCTTTCAGTAACTGGGGCAGAAGTTGGCCAGGGGAGGGTGGAGACTTAGGGACTATGTGTCCCATTTGCACTGCACAATCCCTTGAAGGTTGGATACCCCAACAGTCCCATAATCCCCAGCAGCACTGCACCCTCAGCCCTCACTGGCGTTACACCATCTCAGCTTCCTGAACCCCAACGTTCCTGCTGACCCTGCTGAACCCTCGGTTCTTCCTTGACCGAGCCACCCTGGACCTCCAGGGGTCCTGCACTCTGGAAGTCTGTCCTTCCAGCCGTCTATGCCCAAATGTGTGCACGTCAGCTGTCTACCCCTCACAGTTGTACTGCAACCTCCCCCCCACCCCACCCCCCGTCCCCGCTGATCCATGCCACACACAAAGCTTGTCATCAAGTCCTGGGGGGATATCCAGGAAGGAGTGACCTTTCCAACCAGCAGATGGCCTAGCTGACAGCCCTCCCCACCCCCCCTTTTGTCAGCTCGCAGAGCTGGTTCCACGGTGGGCTTTGCCCAGACTGAGCCACTGTCAAGGGTGAACTCCTCCATGGTTTCCTCTGTGCCTACTCACATGTGCCAGGATTATCCCACAGGAGTCCGGGACTATCCAAGGGACCCTCGAGCCAGCAATGCCAGGGGCTGGCCCTGGGACACCAGCGTAGGGTTAGGGTGGACCTTCTTGTGGAGAACCACCTAGAACCTGCAGAGGAGGAGTGGTCTGTAGGCCCCCAACCATCCTCCGGAACCAACTAGCCCAGGAACCAGTTTCTGTTGTCTAAGACACGTGGCTTCTGCTGGGAAGCCAAGCTAAGGGCCCGACAAGGTCCTGCACACAGGGACACCGTCTCTGTGAGGGGTCATGACAATCTGTGTCACTGGCTGGTGTCACCTCCCCTCCAGTGTTAAGTGTTGGACTTTGGGGAGCTCTTTTCCTGTTTCTCGATGTATTCGGATCGATCTTCACGTCAGTATGTATGTCCCACTTCCCAGTTCCTGGACCCATTGGAAAGATCACCGTCTCCAACGTGACCAGTACCAGCTTCTCCCTGCAGTGGTCAGCAGACATCAGCGTCTCACCTACCTTCTACCTCACTTTGGTCTCTCCTCGGGGACCCGCCGTCACTATGGAGACCCGGGACAACAATGTGACATTGTCGGGTCTGGAGCCCGGAGCATTGCACCTGGTAGAGATCGTGGCCAAGGTGTGTGGGAAAGAAGGTTCCAGAACACAACTGAGAGTGCGGACAGGTAAGGATCTCTGGGAACATGGGTCACCGATTAAACGTAAGGGGACAAACAGACACACACGAAAGGCTGAGCCTAGGAAGACCTGCCTGAGGGCTGCTGGGTATCCATTCCCTTCTCAGCATGGAAGCACCTGGCTCAGCTTGTGAGGGGATGGTGGCAGAATTGAATAATGACACAGGGACCCCATTACATGGGAGACAGTCCTCCCCACAGTTACATGGTCAGATAAAATCCCTTTTTTTATTCTCCTCATTACTTCTGACTTCAGTTTTCCCAGCACATGACTTGTTATGTATGTGATGATACTGTAGGGAGCTTTCGCATCACAGAGAGCCCCCCACACACTGGGGGCTGTGTCTTCCAGGTCGGGGGTACATTTCTTGGGTGATGCCTAAGATGACCTATTGGGGCGCAATAAGAACAGCTCATGGCCAAGAGGAGAAGAAGGAATTTGGTGGTGTGGGGATGGCCTAGCAGGGAAATCCCTGAGTCTGAGCCAAGCCGGGAGACCCCTGAAGGTCTCCCTCACTCTGGAAGGAAGGGGTTGTACATGGATGTGTGGCTCTGCACCTCAAGATGAGTCCTATGTCTGCTCTTCCCTATGCTCCTGTCCTGCCTCTGTGCCTCCTACATCAGGTTGCATGTGCCACTGGCCATGGTTCTGGCCTTTGGGTACAATGACAGTGACGTCCCCCAAAGACATGAGGTTTGAGGCTCATCAGGAATGCGTAGTGGGATGACTTTATGATTTGTCTTAGGACTGAGTGAGAGTCCCTCGGGAGGTGGGCTTGAGGTCATCAGGGATAGAATGCTGTTGCTCTCATCTGATGCTCCAGGCCCCTTACATGAAGCAGGTATGGCCCAGATGTTCAGGAAGGGCCTGTGTTAGAAGCCCGGATGTCACTGGGGACTATCCAGACTATGCTCATGTTCCATATGTTCCTGGAAGCCTTAGAGGGCAAAGACTCACAGAGAACAGGCGGGGTCAAAGTGGGACTGTCCTTAGACCACAGAGAGGTGTGTGTACAGGGTGGGAAACAAGCTGCCTGAACAAGGCCCGCAATGAGGCACGGGCTTTGAGCAGATACCCCTTGGCTCTGACTGTCTCTTGGGGCCTGTTCCCTCTCAAACTGTCCCGGTTTGCCATTAGCTGTCTGGCTTTCAGTGAAGCCTCAAGGGAGGCCCACTGCATGCTACTTCACATCCTTGGGAGCCTGGTGGGCCATGTCCATGGGCAGCAGTCCCTAGTCCTTCTTTGGAGCCAGGTCAGCCTGGATACTCATGCAGTTAACAGGGACACTGGGTAAAGGACAGTCTGTGACCTAATGCATGCTACATCCTGCAGTGGTCCAGAAACTTGCGGGTGAAGTCCGGATAGCAAACATCCGGTATTCAGAATCCCTCCGAAATGCCAGCAGCAGGGAGCACCGAGACTTCGTACAGTTATTCTTCAGGACGGTGAGTGGGGACGGTCAGTCCTCCTTCCCTTCCTGGGGAAAAAGGAAGGGGGTGGGATGGGGGGCGGGGTGGGAATGCTAGGTGCTTCCAACTAGGAATAAGATTCCTGGGTTTTGTGGACTCCCTGTTTCTGGAGGAAGCTGAGCCCGACTCCAGCAGGTTTGAGCGTCCTGCACTGTGTGGTAGAGGCCCTGCCTGGAGGCAGAAGCCACCCCTTCCCCATGCACCTTGCTTTACGCTCCCCATGGAGCAGAAGGCTCCATCTGTATTTATCAAAGTGTTTAAGCAGGGCTTTGGTGGCGCAGGCCTATAACCCTGGCAACTCAGGAAACTGAGGCAGTGGCGTGTGTGTGTGTGTGTGTGTGTGTGTGTGTGTGTGTGTGTGTGTGTGTTGTATGTGTGTGTGTGTGTGTGTGTGTGTGTGTGTGTGTGTGTTTGTGTGTTGTAAGTTCAAGGCCTGTATGGGCTACAGAGAGAGCTCAAGGCCAGCCTGCAATATGTGTGCACCGAACACATGCATGCACACATACACACAACCACACACATACACATACACACACACACAAATGAATATTTAAAATTGGAGCTCCATTTCAAATACCATGAAAAAAATTAAGTGTAAAAACCAGTGATTTATACTGTTTGTGAAAAATCTGCAGCTACCACCACCATCTAATTCCAGAATGTTTAGTTACCTCAGTGTGGAAACCCTGTACCCATTCTCCCTCTGCCTCTCCCCCAGCCCCTGGGCCGCTACTCTGCTTCCTTGAACCTGTCAACTGGATGCACGTGAACATGGACAAGATTAAGTAGCATGTTGTTTCTGTCACTTAGTTAATGTGCTCCAGGTTCATCTGACATCGCCATGTGCGTCTGCACCCCATTTCTTTGATGGGTGGATACTGCTCCATCATCCCTTCCCTTTATCCATCCACTCAGTGTTGGAGAGCCATGGTCCTTCTGCTCTCTGTCCAGAACAAAGCTGCTCTGATCACATGCCTTTCTCCCCTGCCTTCCCTCCAGCTCTCTTTGGGACAATAAATTGTTATGGCGTAGTAGTACGGGTAGCGATCTCAGCATGTTTTGGTGCTATGGCAATAATTATTATTACTCAGACAGAGTCTCATGTATCCCAGGCTGACCTCAAACTCTCTATGTAGCCAAGGATAACCGTGAACTCCTGGTCCTCCTGCTTCTACCTCCTGAGTGCTGGGATACGGGTATGCACCACCAGGCCTGGTTTATGTGGTATTGGGGATGGAACCCAGGGCTTCATGTATGCTAGGCAACACTCTACCTGCTGAGCTGCAGACCCAGCCCTAGTTTACACTACTTTAGAGAATGCACTATATTATTATAGAAAATGCACTTACCATAATCTCGTGATCTTGTTTACCTGGTGGAAATTTCAACCTCCTTCTAGCTTTTCCATAGTCAGGGAGTTGGAGTTTTAAGGGCGCGTTGGACAGTGCCACCTAGTGTTGGTTGTGATAACACGCGGGTATGTCTAGAGCCAATGGGCACTACTCTCCAATAGAATGGACCATGCAGGCTCAGGAACTGCTCCAGTCTAGCCCCACGGGATCTGAAGCCCTGCCTTCCATATTCTTGAATTCCCAACTCTTCCAGTGCCTGGACCCAAGAGTCCTTAGTGGTGTGACTTATGTGGTGCATCACCCCTCTTTAGCAAATGGTGGTTTTAGGTAACATCAGGCAACAGATGTTGAGCCCCTTCCCCACTCTGGTGGTCAACTACAGCAGCTCCACCCCAAGTTTCTAGATCAGTCTTTCTTTTTAAAGTCATCTCCTCCTTGGCCCATTTTTGGACATAGTTGCTTTGTTTGTCTCTTGTCCCGGGATAGAAAATAATTGTGTAGCCATATACACAGGCAGGATACCAAGACCAGCTTTGGAGGTGGTAGGCTAATGGTTCATCATTTCCTAGCAGGTTCTGGAGCTTTGCCTGGAGACCACTTTGAAATGGCGACATTACCCCAATGCTGCGGCAGATCTGGGGTGGGGTGGGGGTGAGAAGCAGGAGTCTCTAAGATAAGCACAGCAGCTGTCTGGCTGAGCCCCCCAAAGGCAGCTGGGGTGGGGCTGGTGGTACTCAGCCTGTGATGGGGGGGGATAATGGATCTCTCTGCCTTGGGTGACATAGAGGAGGGGAAGTGGGGCCAGGAGCTCATGCCTTGGGGTACCAGCCCTCATGGGTTTCTCTGACAGTCCGTGGAGATGCCCTTTCCAGGAGTAATTTGAATCACGTAGACCGTTGAGGCTCATTATAAGAGCATGTGTCTTGAACTGTGTTGGGCTGGATTAGAATGATGCAGCCCGTGACACGTGACTCTGCTCTAAAGGTTAGAGGACCAGAGCAAGCCCTTCAGAGGTGGGAACTGTGTGTCCTGTTAGGGCTGCTGGAGCAGCTCATCCAGAAGGGGTCTGTGAAGAGATGGGGAGGAAGAAGAGAGGGGAAATGTTCAGAAGCATTAGCGCCAAAGGAACATTCTAGAAAAACAAACGGAGTAGGTGGTCTTGCTCTCCACTCACTCAGCCCCCGCTGCCCCCACCCCTGAGCTAAGAGCAACCCTTAATTGCCATCGTGAGCTTTCGTGTTGCAGGCCTGTGCAGGTGGGGTTCTGCTAGCATCACCCCCTACTCAACCCAAAGATAGCTCTTTGCAGCTGTCTACTGCATGTAGGGGGAGAGCGCGCCTCCGGACATCATCAACACCTGCAGGTGTTTGGCCTGGGCTTCAAGGGTCCAAGAACTGGCCTGGGGCCTGGACCTTCTTGCCACAAGCCTCTCCTGCTGCCAGGCAGAGTACCAGGACAAACGGCCTGTGGCCTCAGCGGGCAGCTCTTCTCACACAGCCTGTTTCTTGAAGGTGCGGGACTCCTTGCCGGCCACGCTGCGTCAGCACATGGACACGGGCGAGATCCGCGTGGACATCATCAACATCACCAATGGCAGCGTCGTGGTGGAGTTTAATTTGCTAATAACGGCAGACCTGGATGTCAGGGAGGTGTCTGCCACCTTCCTCACAGCCCTACAGAATACATCGGTGCTGGAGGTGGTCAAAGGCAAAACCTTTCTACAAGGTATGCAGGGGCTGGGCTCGACCCTGGTCTGCCGCAGTTCTGGAAACAAAGGCAGCTGTGAAGATGTGTTCCGGGCCTTCTTGTGGGGCTTCCTAGGAGCTGTCTGAAGCATGAAGTGAATGGGGGCTTCCTTATCATTCTCTCTCTCTCTCTCTCTCTCTCTCTCTCTCTCTCTCTCTCTCTCTC